GTAAAAAGTAGCTTATTTCAAATGTAGTCAGAGTAAAAGTTACTTAGTTACTTTTTTGACTGTGCAAGGATGGGCTCTTCTGAATAGTTTAAAAAAAAGACAATGGGGTATAAATGTCAAAGTGGCCGTTTTTTTAATTAAATGAACAAATATGCATATTGAAGTACAAAGGCAGTTACACTGCAAACTAGTAACATAAATTAGGTTATAGTCACAAGCCCATGACTTTTCCCTGAATGGCCCCCTTAAAATTATTCTTTATTTTGAAAAAAAAAAAAATTCATTTTTAGATGCCATCAGTATGTGAGGTATCTCAATGTTCTCATGACAAAACTCTAACATGAGACTGTGCTCTAACCTGTCACATAACAAGCTAAATAAAAGTCAAACATTTCAGATGTACTGTATGACAGCTCCTAACGTTGGCCCTGCCCTACTTTACCTCTACATTACAGTTCCTTTAGCCATGTCCATCCTAGAGCTCCTCTCTGACCTTCATGCTTATTTAGAGCAGCTGATTTTTAAAGTTAGCAGAGTTCATCCTTGGTAGTGGGTTCACTCACTCATTTAAAGATATCGGCCAGAGGCAAAATTTGTTTGAACAGCATGTGTAAATGTGTATTAAAACCTCAGATGAAAAAGGTTTTTGGATTTTGACGTCTGGAATTGTAAGAAAATCTGATGCTTGTGACCGACGAGGGAAAAAAAGAAACTAACTTCCAGTCTAAGCCCTGGGCAGCAGTTGACGTTTCACATGGAGCTCTGCTGAAACAGCTGTAGTAAACAACGCCTGGCTCCGCTGTTTCTGCGTTAGCGTTATAGCAGAGAACAATGTGTCATCAATCAGATGTAGCTTCTGAAGCCTCTGCTAGTCGGTCAAATTTGTTTTTTCTCTGGGATACGGCGACGAGAATGGATATTGGATTACTGGAGAAGTTCAACCGAACTCAGACCTCGCCAGCTGGATATCACTACCAGAGGTGCAGACATGTTTTAGACCGTTTGACTCAGAAGACCTGCGACCTGATTTGGACATAGAGGAGGATTCTGTTCATCTTCAGAACCAAAATCGGTACAGTTTGTTTACTTTTCTTAAATATTTCATTTCTGTGCTCCACTGGGAGCTCTAAGCTGAAAAGTTCTCAGCTGGTCTTAGCTCCATCATGTGTCCCAATATAGTTCAGTAATCTACAGTTTTACTGCTGTGTGTATTTATTGATAAAACTCTGGAAAATATTTAACCGACAATTTACCAGAATAAATCTTCCTGATGCTGGAGTAACTCCTTAGCTCAATTCGTTGTCTGCACTAATCCAGGATGTCATGGAGGTTCTAATGTTGAAATTTAGAGATCATCTTTTAGATTATATCTGTGTGTGTGTGTGTGTGTGTGTGTGTGTGTGTGTGTGTGTGTGTGTGTGTGTGTGTGTGTGTGTGTGTGTGTGTGTGTGTGTGTGTGTGAGAGAGAGAGAGTGCGTGTGTGTGTGTGTGTGTGCCGTAGCTTTCCCAAAGGACTTGTTCTTTCCTTACCGGAGCTAACACGGTTAGCAATTTTGCTGCAGTCATGCTAACGGGACTTGTCTAGAGTGCAGTTCTAGATGGATTTATAGATGTAAGTTATTATTTTAGATCAGACCTGTTATTTAAAAATGCATGTAGGACACAGACACATGGCTCAGACCTTTTGCTGCAGCTATAAACACAATTTTACGTAATAATTAGGAGCATGAAAGTAAACAAATAACAGTGATTCACAATATTAGCATCAGCAGCTAGCTTGTTTTACGTGCTGGAGTGACGTATGCGAAACACAGTTCTTCACTGTCTGGAGGAGAGGATTTGGATTTTCTGTAATGATTTATGACAAAAGTCCTTAACAGAATAAAAAACTGGACCCAGTACATATTTATATAGATAACAAAGTGTAGTTATTTGCATTTCTACAGTTTTAATGCCGAGCCAATACCTTTAACCCTTCACCACTGAAATCAGTTTGTTCATTCCAATCCTCCTAAATAATCCTCCAATCATCCAACTGGAATCCTTAAGGGTCCCGTAACGTCCATCCTGTCAGAACAGGCCTTGGGAGCCCAGGTGTTACTAGAACTAATGGTGTCTCCTCACCAGCGTGAGCCTCCAAACTGTGAAGGTTGGTCTCCAAACATGAACTTCAAATTCATGCATTTATCTCCTCTTGTAACACTTTAACATGTTTTAAAAGGCTTGTATCATGATAAGTTACACCTCCCAGACCAAAGATAGGTCCAATATAAGATAAAACATTATCATAAACACTGCAGAGACATCATTGTTTATTAAATATAAGTTAATTTCCTGAGCCATTCAGCCAAGATATAGGATGCATGGATTTGATGAAGCCATGCTGTCTTATGCAGTCCTACACACACACACACGCACGCACACACACACACACACACGCATACACACACACACACACACACACACACACACACACACACACACACACACACACACACACACACACACACACACACACACACACACACCAAATATCAAATGGATTGCTCAACTGGTACGGCACCTGACATACATGCAGTGGACCCAAAATGCCAACATCCAGTGCGAGTCCTTAGGGAAGACCTTTGGTGCTACTTCCTACCTCATGTACAAACTACTGACTGTGGTATCGCCTGGCCAAACAAGCTTTAACACAAGAAAGGGTCTATTTATAACTGTCATGTTTGGGTGGAGGTGTTTGACCCAGGACATGAAGAATCAGTTTGCTTTAAGGACAATTGCAGGTGCACCACAACGTGTGGTGGTGGGTCTCAGGCTCGAGAGGCTCTGGAAAACAAAGGGGAGCTAACAGGCTGCCAGACGGGTTGAAGGTGCGAGGCAGGAGCTGAGGCTTACTGTTTGTGGGTGGCTGGGAGCTTGAGTGGAGAGGGGTGCAGAGGCAGATCTGAGGAGGCGGTGAACTCGAAGGTGAGGAGTGGGCTTGGTGACTCAAAAGGGCTGCTGCCAAGAGTTCCACGAGTGGTGAGCCGTGGGCAGGGCCACCTTAACCAGCTCACAGGCCCTAGGGCAGAGGGGCTCAGTAGGCCCCCCACGGGAGGAAATATGTGTGCATTGGTGGAGGAGGTGCTCTGGATAACTGTTTTTGTCAGGTGATTGGATTGTATTTGTGTCAGTGGTTGTCCTTGCCTTTCCTTTTCTGCCCATGAAACCCTTTTTCATGCATTTATCACGTCACAAATTCACTAATACAACAGTATCTTATATGGTATCCCATCCCAACCCCTAACCAAGCTTCAACACATCCAGAATCCCCTAACTCACACCTGCGCCAATGCCCACGTCTCTCTTGTCCAATCATTGGCTTCCTCTCAGAGCATCACAAGTCCTCCATAACCTGGACCCCACCTGCCTCCCAGACTTGCTCCACCACCGTGCCCCATCCCCCACCTATGACCAAGCTCTGAACCTGGGGAAACAGAACTTTCTCCATCCCCCACCTTCTGGAACTCAGTCCTACAGCCCCTCCACAACTGCTGACCTCCCCACCTTCTCAACTCTTCTCAAGACTCATTTTAAAACAGTTTTAAGTCTACTTTTGATTGTTGCATAATCTGCTCGTTTAATCTGGATTTTTACAGCATCTCTGAGAAAAGAAAAGCACTCGATGAATAAACTGTGTATTATTCTACATTGTGACCTTAAGACCTGTCCTAATGTGGTGTCCTACCTGAAGGCTGAACTTCTGCTGCTGCAGCTCTTATGTAACCTGCTCCACCTGTCTTATTGTAGACAGGTGGATTGTGTTCTGGACAACCCAAAGTGAGTAATCATCCGGCATCTTGGTGTCATCTGCCTGCTCCTGCTTGACCATATCATGTAGTGCATTAATAGGCAGACACCCCCTGGCACTCTGTACCAACCTTAAGGACATAATAGTTAACAGTAGAACATTAATAAAAGGACCCTTAATAATGCACTAAGTAATGTAAATAAAGGGACCTTGTTGTAAAGTTTTACCCAACAGTGGCGTGTCCAGATCTTGTAAAATGGGGTGGCCCAGGTGAGGCACAACTTTGTGCATGGGTGGCACCAATGGTTATGCTTTTTTTGTTTTACCCCCAAGCCTTTTGTGGACAACAAAAATCCTATTTAAAGGTAAATTAGTGTGTTGGCACCTGGGGTGGCCAATCAGATTCCAAGGGTGGCATGTGCTACCCCCAGGCCACTCCCTGAACACACCCCTGTTACCCAAGCAAGACATCTGTCCTCAGGGTGTCCAGAGTCACTGGTGGGTGACCGTGCCATCTTCTGTATATTTGTGGTGGAACGTGGTGCGGATCCCATGGGAATGAACCAAAAATGGAGCCATGATTTATGGAAGCAATACCCCACAAAGACTTGATGGTATGAGAGTGATTTGGTACCAGGTTGACCCGATGGGTGGATTAATACAAAAGAACAATGTTCTGATGTTCTAGACAGGCTCGATCTTTTAAACGTACCAGAAGATGTTTGTTCAAGAGGAAGGGTGCTGGTGACTGGCTGAAGCTGGAGGTCAGGAGGTTGGTTGATGGAATGGTTGGGACCAGAAAATCTTTTTTTATTTATTTCCATAACCCTCATTTCCTCTAGATCTTTCAATCTCCCCTTGGGCGTCTCTTATTTCTCTAGTGCAGCCTTCGTTTGTGAAGCTAGATGTTTCTTCAGTGACTTTATTTTCTCCTTCAGGTTGACATACTCTGCTGTAATGGGTCTGTTTATTTGACTGACCTATTTTTGGACGTAGAATATTGTGATGGCCACATCCATGTCCACACAACGGTGAACGTTAAGAACACTCTTGCACTTTTATGATTTCAGTTTGTATGTTCATATTTCTTTGGATTTATTGTTTAGATGGCTTAAATGCATTAGTTCTAATTGTAAGCGCGCACATTTAGCTAACTGCTGTATTTTATGCCTTTCATTTGTTCAATTTAAGTTGATTTGTTTTCTCTTACCGGTGCTGAGGTTCTCCACTTCCTGCTTCCTGAGATGGGACAGGCAAACAGGGTTGAAGGGGTTCTGTCAGCTAAATACAGGAGGAGCTGATGGGACCAAACCAATAGCTCCCTGAAGAGGGGACTGAAGAATTTCCTTTAGTTTATTATTTTGTCATTTGTTAATTAATTTAAGTTTGAAGTTAAATAGTTAGGTTTATGGGTTAGGATGTTTAGGTTTATTAACAATCTGACTGTACTGATTTGTGGTTTTAGTTTTAGTTAGTAAATGTTTGTCTAGTAATCCCTATTGTTCATATGGTCTGATCAGCCAGTGTGTATATATACCCTTGTGTGTCTTTGTTTGTTAGGTCGGTTATGGTTTCAGTCAGTCAGTATGTTAAGTA